CGCGAAGGTGCCATCGGGGCTTCAATCAGCATCAAAGAACTTGTTCTGACTTGGACTCCCAATGGGGAATTGGGCGATAGTGATCCATTGGCGAGTCCAGGTGCTCGTCGGGTCGACCACTTCTCAAAAAGACTATATGACAGATTGTTTCTACTAGCTTCTTGTTACTACTAGTAAGGCCCTTGCTCCTAGTAGCGATGCACTTGTTACTCGTAGCTTCTTGTTACTTAGGTTTCGAGACGCACACCACATTTGGAACTTTGGATTTGTCCGCGTTACATGAGGCTGCAGGGAGGCATCATCTCGCGCTTGTGCTGCAGCGAAGTGTTAAGACACACTGACAGTGGTTTGTTGAGATTCATGGTGCGAAAGCTTGAAGTTCAGTTTGAAGCCAATTGAGTCTCATTGAAACCGTTGGGCCCTTATGAACTCTTGCATATTTTTGGAGATTGATCCAGCGCCAACCAACACCTTCCCTGCAAGTCGGGCAACAACAACTTTGTGGTCTTCGATCGAAACGACAAGGCTGCGGATGTTTCAGCTTGAAATCGGGAAAAGGTCAAGAGAACCTTCTCGTCCATACTACTAATTACGGAAGACAGTACAACATGGAGGGTTTGCAGTGCAAAGAACATGCTCGAACCATGGCTTGGAAATTGTGTGGAATTATGTTTGAAAGAAGGACTTTTGCCTATATAGGGTAAATACACGATTTTGGACAGTTTTAAAAAGGGCGACAAATGGCTGAGCTGAGCCGTCATCGCCTCCTGACTATGATAGATAAAGCTTAGCTGGGGAATGATGGAGTAGACGGAGCCCTGGGCGTAGGTTGGCGGATACTGCTGGATTACTGCGGCCAACGAGCATTCGAAGCTGCAAACAGAGTTTGGGTTCCAACCCTAGTCGCACCCCCCACGGCTGTACACACAGTGAGTCAAGAACATTCATGGTGGGCTGATTGCGTAGAGTTGTGGTTGGAGTGGTTGCACATGTTTTGACTCACGACTCACTACCCAGAGCCCAGAGCAGTGAGATTCTTGTTTGTTTTCGTCGGCAATTGCAACGGTGAAGCAAAGAGAAATTGTCTCTGAAGGTATCTTCAATCTGTGTACTGAATCGTTTAGCCTTTTGTATGCCCTACTGCCCTGCTGACGCGGAGCAAAGGTCGTTCCACATTTGGTGGGGGCAGGACAGCCTGGAAGTCATCAGAGATGTGGAAGGTCCTGCAACACCAGAGAGCAGCAGACTGTAAATCGACCAGTGGGCTTAAACTTTACAATTGCCTTGATGACGAGTTAGGCATTCCATGCTTCCGCGCAACTCATCAGCATTCCGCATATGATTGACGTAGATGAGCACGCTGCCCATCGGTTCGAAGAATATCTAGTTAGGTATGTTAGGTGTCGCATTTGAGCCCTGGCAGGATTGCGTGACAGAAAAGTGCCGCGGCCTTACTACGACCAAGACGAGTAATTATATATGCGATGAAAGGCGGCCTCCTATTCGTGCCAAGGTCCCTACCCCAAGGGCTGGGAGATATGGCCCAAGAAGAAGAAGGCAAAACCCCGAGACTTCGGACTGTTTGTGCAATACTTCGGACTGGCTGTGCCACTGCGATGTGGTGCAGTTGTTTCACTTGAATACTTGTGGTGTTTATATAGAATTGTTTCAGAAGTAGGGTTATATATATGTAACTAGACTATAATTATGTATATAACAATGATCTATATATAGGCAGTATCAGTATACCTTGCAGTCTCACTTGCAGGAATCCTGTTGTTTTCGCTTGCGACGAACACCAAACCATTCGAGTTTTCCCGCTCTCAGGTTCTGGAGCACTTCCACTATGCTGCTGAGTCCTATGGCGTGCTTTGACCAGAGTCAGAGAGTCGTGTGAACCCAGAGTTATGTGTGAAATAGAGGTTTTCTAAGTGCCAAATGAGGTGCTTCCCAATTTTCAGTTCAAGACCAACGTTGCCAAGATGGATATCGTTGGGGACAAGCCAGCTCCTTAAAGTCAATCATGTTTGGCTGCAGTTTGCACAAACTCAGCTCTGGTGTATCAAGAGGTGCTTGTGCTGTTTGTTGAACACATGAACACATAGGCGCTTTTTGTTTCTTGTGCTTCTCCAATTCTCCATGAACATGGCGCTGGAGATGCGATGTTTCACTTGCCTCGCGAGTACCGTACCGCATCGACCGAGGGACAGTCACGACCGCTACTACAAATTGTCAGTCCATCCTGTAGAGGGTGGTGATGCTCGCGAGGTCTCGCCACACTGCATGACGATGGAAATAGCAGAGCTCACAGCAGAAAAAATTGCCCAAGCGCAGCACAAAGTGCATGGAAGGTGAATGTGTCTTTGATCTACAACTACCCGGGCTGCATGACCAGGCACGGGGGGTTGAGAAGGGATGTTTTTGTTGAGGACTGAGGAGGTCCTCCACTCAAGAGGTTTGATCCCGTGCCCTCCGGGTTACAGATGGTTACAGTGCCTTTGCAGTGCCCTTGCAGTCTCATGCTTTCGGTCCAGGAATCGCATCATTGACTACCCTGGTGAAGATGTTTTTGAAGGCACCCTGGCACATTTGGTGTATAAGTATAAGGCATTATAAGGCGAAGCAATCCATTTTTTGCAAGTCGTGTTATGGACCATTGATTCGGCACCGTTTTGATGAAAAGGTGTGGAATGATGTCAGACGGGTTGTTGTGATACTATGTGATACTTGCCTTTGTGAAAGCAGCGGATGCTGACTTTGGCTGAGGTCATGTGGCCTATGGTATGAACGACGATTGCCCATACGGTGAGCTGAAAGGCCTTGAAAAATAGACTTTTGATTACCAATTGAGATCTTCGCATTTGGGGACATACTTTCTCAAATTACAGCAAGTTGCATGACGTGTAATATGTGAATCTGTGTGTGTGCCCCTTGTAGTCACAGGGATTCTTTTGAATTGTTTTT